AGAGGGCAGCTCTAAGGACACACTCACTGAACCATGAGTTCATATGTCCTTGTGAGAAGCAGTCTGATACAAATCGCCCACCAAAAACAACAACTACAACAACAAATGTATAAACTACAACACAGATGAAGCCTAACACCTCAGACGAAGTCACAGTCTCTGGTCAAAAAAAACAGGAGGAGTAATATTCAGCTAAAACTTCTGCAGCCTCCAGGTTCACTGAAACCAGCTCCGCAGGTTTCAGCTGATTTTGCAGCTGACTCAAAGACAAAGGTGCAGGAAATCTGAACCTTTGCAGATTCACTTTCAGGACAACAGGCCCTCAGAGACCGGCTGTTTGGTCAGCCTGACCGACCAAGCGGGAGTCAGCCAGTCAGACAACGGGGAAAAACTACAGTCATCAACAGCAGGATCAGCAGCTCCTTTAATAAACGTGTTTGAGACGTCCCACCTGTTGCTTTTTGACAGAAGATACTGAGGTACATATAATTTATCCAGCCTAAAACTACAGAGATGCGATTTGAATTTCCACATCAGCCAGCCCCTAATGTGCTCTGCATACCAGCAGAAAGAAGCCCGAAGCAAAGAGAGGAGCACTCACCTGAACCAGAAGATGAGATCATGTTCCCGGATCTTTGGACTTCATCGAATTTGCTGAAGATTACATTCAAGCTGTAACAGAGGGACAGAGAGAAAGACAAGAATGTGAAGATAATTATGCAGATGGCACATAAAACAAAGCAGATGGGCAGCAGAAAGTAACTAAAGACCTGTTTCCTGCACCATCCATCACCTCCGAGGTGAGAAGCCCTCCCTCGGCTTTCTGCTGCAGGGACCAAAATAGACCGAAACCACCACACAGATGACTAACAGGCAACGGGGCCAGAGAGAGAGCGAGCGAGAGGGGTGATGGAGGGGTGCAGAGACATATGGCCCAGTGTGAAGGAGGAACGAAGAGGACACAAAGGGAACAAAGAAGATGCCGCATCTGAATGTTCGCTGGTATCTGATATTAAACGTGAAACCACGTTTTGAGCCCGAGCTACAAAATTCTGGCGCCGCTTCAAAGAGCTTGTTCATGGCTGATTACAAGAGCGATGACCATAAATCCGATTTAGGGGAAAAAAAAAATCATCTGGGGTGTTCAGTCATGAGCCACAGCTCAAAAAAAAAAAAAAAAAAAGCCAGAAAGTAACCTCTGCAGTGTGGAATGAGACCAAAAAGTGCACACGCACCAGCTCTACTGCAGTTCAGCTCAACTTTAAATCTGCAGCCAACTTCATAAATAATGAATCATAACAGAATATATATTTTATGTTTAAACAACCATTTATTTTACACTCTGTGCTGATTTCTGATGTTAAATCACAGGTTCACAGGTGCTCTGGTGAGCTGCAGAATCATGTTTTAGGAAGGTATAATCCTTATATATGGACAATTCGATAGCAATTTAAAACAGTGGTAATATAAAGAAAAATCATATAATTTATTTATTTATTTATTTTTAAACTTCTATTTAAATGTATTTTTTTTTCACAAATCATGGTCATAATACATAATGGAAACGTTGCCATTATACACAAAAAACAAAACAAAACAAAACAAACAAAACAACAAACAAACCCCACCTCCCTCCCCACCCGAGGCTCATGTAAAGAGAAACAAAACAAAACAAACAAAAAATGTATGTCACACATCTGGAAAATACGTTTTTATATAGTCAATAAATGGGTTCCAAGTCGCAGAGAATTTTTGTTGTGATGGGAGAACTCTGTATCTAAGTTTTTC